GCATACTTGAAATGCTGGACAGCTTGATAGATAGCGGCCAACTCACGATCAAAAGCACTGTACTTACTGTGCGCTAGACTCAAACCTTTTAAATAAAATGCCAACGACTGAGTCCGTCCTTTCACCACTTGTTGCAGAACAGCACCCACCGCAACGTCTGAAGCATCAGTCGTGAGCATCAATTGTGCATCCAGGGCCATAAAGTAATTTGGGCAAGATCATTCTTGCAAGCCTCAAAAACTGCTATATCTTCCGGAGTCCAAGAAATCATCGACTTATTATTCTTACGGTTACCTGGTGTAAGATAAAACAACCGCTGCTGATTCTGCACAGCGTTACGCAGAAACGGTCGATAAAAGTTCATCATGCCTAAGAATTGTCTAAGCTATTTCACCGTCGATGGCAGAGAAAAATCACGAACAGCTTGAACTTTACTCTCCAGAGGACGTAAACCCTTCGCACTAATAACGTGCCCAAGGAACTCGATCTCGGTACAGTCGTCAGACCTGTCTCTCTAAGTCGATCCAAAACCAACCGTAAATGCATTCTATGTTCTGCTTCATTTTTTGACCCAATTAGAATATCGTCGATGTACACAAAAACGAAATTAAGATCACCCAGAGTCTCATTCATAAAACGCTGAAACGTCTGGGCCGCTTAACGGAGACCGAAAGTCATAAATCGAAACTCAAACAGGCCAAATGGAGTTGTAATAGCTGTCTTCGGAATGTCTGCTGGTGCGAGCGGTATTGATGATTACGCTTTCTGCAAAGTCTATCTTCAACATATTTTACCATGAAGAATACTCGTCACATCATGAATGAACGGAATCGGATACCGATCAGGTTTAGTTTGCGCGTTGAGCATGCGATAATCGCCACACGGTCTCCAACTTCCATCGCCTTTGCGAACCATGTGAAGTGGACTTACCCAACAGCTTTTCGAAGGTTGACAAATCCCTGTCTGGACTAAAAATTGGAATTCCTTCTTGGCTTCTTCAAGTTTGGCTCCAACTAAACGTCGGGGACGAGCAAATGACGGCGCACCAAATGTCTCGATGCAATGTTCAACCTTAGTAACTAAACCCATCCGATTTGCACTCATAACGCCTAAATCACGGTATTCATTAACCAGCTCAGCATAAGCTGAAACTGAACCACACACACGCACAGTATCTTCTTGAGACACAGCAGCCTTACCCTTCATCATCAAAGTCGTCTTCGAATCAACTAACCGCTTCCTTTTCAAATCCACTAACAAGTCATAGTGATTAAGGAAGTCGGCTCCAACAATAGGACAGCTAACATCCGCAATCACGAACGTCCACGGGAAATCTCTACGCAAACCCAAAGACAAAAGCAGTCGACGCTCGCCAAATGTTTGAATAGGCGTACCATTAGCGGCATATAAATTAACTGATGCAACACTGTTAGCCCTTTGCTTCCAACGACAGAACGACTTCGGTAAAACTGATATGTCCGCACCAGTATCAATGAGGAAAACGGTCGACGTGGCGGGATCTTTAATACTAAGTCGAGCTATACGAACACTAACCCCTTCTCGGCTCGACGACGTAGAAGGAGTGCCTAGTTTTTTGACTGATGAGAGCTTGCCACAAAACTACAAGGCTGCCGACAAGCATTAGCTCTATCACCAAACCTTTCGTGATACCAGCACCAATCTGGATGACTTCCTGGTCGGGAACGAGTTCGCCTACGCCTCCTCGATGACGATCGACTTTGCATCGACTCACTACGACGTAAATCCAAACGACTCAGACGCTGTTCGATTTGCTCAAGCCTTCGTAAAATCACAGCATTCTCAGAATAGGCTGGACAATCAGAGGCTGACGCTACAGCTATCTGTTGAAAATCACCCGCCTCGCAAATACGGTCTGCTAATTTCGCCAGTTCTGCTAGTGCCACATTCGATGCCTGCAGAATAGCGCGCACTTGTGGTGGCAAACGCTTCAGCCAAAGAGACTTAAGGAACTCATCGCTCACCTTGTCTTTAGCTAACGCTGTCAACTCCGTTAGCAACTGTGTTGGGCGTCTATCACCAAGTTCAACTTCTGACAACAACCGTTGAATCTTCCGCTGCTCGCTCTCACTGTACCGCTCTATGATGCAAGCCTTTAAATTAGCGTATCTTCCAGTTTCAGGAGGATGAAGCACTGCATCACTTACATCGGCGATAACACTTGACTCAATCGCTGCTACTACCGTGTTGAACTGTGTGATGTCACTCGTAATGGCAGCTACTGCAAATTGCGCCTCGATCTGAGCAAACCAAATCTCCGGTCGCTCGTGCCAAAACGGTGGCACCTTCACTGCTACACGGTTTACGACACTTCCACTATCAGAAGCCATAACTACACCTTCGTCTGCAACTGACATCACAGCTCGATAATTAGATATTTAGCTCAGAAGTTAATATTTCTAAATTTAAACTTTTTCGAGATCACGTCGGGGTCACCAATTTAGCAATGATCTGTTCACCTTGCTAATTAATAAAACTCTAAAAATTTTCAATGTTAATAAACTTTTATTCAACTTTTTACAGAGAGAAAAATCGAAACGTTCTCATCAATCAAAAACAAAAACTTAAAAATATTTGAAATTGAATTTTACTTTTTAAATTCAATAAATGCACAGCCAACTGGGTCGCCACAAAATAATTGATTTTTCAAACTACAGCAAAATGAATGATGATTAATGTAAACTTTGCATATTAAATATTATCTCCAGTTAGATAGCATAATGTACTATATAAATTATATATCTTTATGCTTGCATAAATAATGTACGACGGTTTGTATATCTTGGGAGCACGACGGCTGCCTTTTAACAAGGCAGGGCCTAACAACGAAAACATAGTGGTTAATCAGTGAAAATGGTTTTTTGTTCATCGAAGTATTCTCCATGAATATTTTTGCATTCGATTTAACCAATTTTGAAGTTCCTACCTCCAAACCCAAGGTTTTGAATGTCTCACCGGTCAGTTCGAGAGAAGAAAAACGTTTGCCAAGCATTTTTTCTTAATGTTTGGGACTAAGAAGAAGTCATTGGTGCGAAGTCGTGACTGTAAGACGGATGACCCAGCAATTCGACGTTTTAAGTACTCAAAAACTCTTATTTGAGCTGATGTATTTGAGTTCATATTGATGTGACTACGATCTTGCTTCGACGATTAGTTTTTCTCAATTCTCTAAAAACTTCCGGCAAACAAATGGTCAATTTTGAGCTATTGCGGTATTTTTTTAGTATTTCCTTGACTCAATCAATACTTGCATTCTTTTGAGCGATTGTCAAATAATGCAGAATCCAACAAATCTTTTTGACAGGGAACAAATCTTTCTGACAGCTAAATGTATATCTAAAATTAAATGTATGCTGGTCCCACTTCTGCCCAAGAACGCCACTATCTCCCGGTATGCAATATGCCAATCCATCTTAACCGTTTCTCACACTGCATCGATATGCTCAACATTTAACATGTATCTTATATAGTAAAATCAAGGTGGCACCCTTTCACGCAGAACCATTATGATACCCATTCTGTGTCCATAATTTATATATATGAGCACGACAACTATTCTAAGAGAATTCCTTTTTGGACCAGAAAAACCACTTTGTCGCTTTAAACAAGAAGGCAATGTCTTTAACGACCATACTAGTAATATCAGATACACCTTTTAGGGAGAGAAATCATAGAATAGATATGTGCTTTCTGGCATGTGCTAGAAAGAACAAATAAGTAAAATTTTTCTGCTCCTGACCCGCAACTACAATAGTAGTCGTTGAATAGAGTCCTTAAGAAATAATGGGTAAACTAATTTCTAATAAAAATAATGCTGCGTTAATTAGAAATTAATACGAAAATTGGTTTGATAGTTTATAATCCTCATAGTTTTCTATTCATAAGTTATAGAAAATGGAGCTAATTTTTTTAAATATATATGACAATGTTTACGATAAAAAATATTTCATTAATGTTGAAATCAAATAAAATAAATATATGTATACATTATTGATGTATCTCAATTTCTAAGTGGAGAGAGTGAATTTATCTGAATAACTTATTTTAAGTAAATTCAACACATCTGAAGTGTGTAGAATGTAATTGTGTGTGAATAGCGAAACTGAAATTGTGTTTCATCACAAAAAAAAAAATACAAATTGTTTTTCACATAGAAGAACCACACAGAATAACAAATTTTAAACATTCTTTTGTTAAATTAAGTCAAATAAATATGTAGAATCGTGCAGATTCATGAAAGCTTCTCAATACTGCATTGTGCGAAGTGTATGTATTGTTACTTGAATTTTTACCACAAATGTATTACAAAAGCTACTCCCTTACACCCGCATGAGCGCATAGAAGCAGATACTAAATCGGATTGGTTGAATGTGG